AGATCTAGGGCCCTATCCTGTATTCTATACATATCCAGGGCCCTACTACTCGGAAACTCGGCAGGCTTAGGTAAGGATTTAAAGGGCGTGTTATTGATTTCTAAATAAGGGTTTGAAAATACAAATAAAAATTGTATTTAGAGAAGTATACGGTAGTATTCTTAATTTGATATAAAATATATTCAAAAAGTATTTAAGAAACCCCTCACAACGGATTGTATAACGTTGCACAGAGGTTAAACAGTAGTTAAGAAACCACTCAGAACGGATTGTATAACGTTGCACAGAGGTTAAACAGTAGTTTAGAAACCACACACAACGGATTGTATAATGTTGCACAAGGGTTAAACAGTAGTTAAGAAACCACTCACAACGGATTGTATAACGTTGCACAGAGGTTAAACAGTAGTTAAGAAACCACTCACAACGGATTGTATAACGTTGTACAGGGGTTAAACAGTAGTTAAGAAACCACTCACAACGGATTGTATAACGTTGCACAGAGGTTAAACAGTAGTTAAGAAACCACTTACAACGGTTTTTTTTTCTAACGTTGCACAGGGGTTAAACAGTAGTTAAGAAACCACTCACAACGGATTGTATAACGTTGCACAGAGGTTAAACAGTAGTTAAGAAATCACTCACAACAGATTGTATAACGTTGCACAAGGGTTAAACAGTAGTTAAGTAGTTAAGAAACCACTCTCAACGGATTGTATAACGTTGCACAAAGGTTAAACAGTAGTTTAGAAACCACTCACAACGGATTGTATAACGTTGCACAGAGGTTAAACAGTAGTTTAGAAACCACTCACAACGGATTGTATAATGTTGCACAAGGGTTAAGCAGTACTTAAGAAACCACTCTCAACGGATTGTATAACGTTGAACAAAGGTTAAACAGTAGTTTAGAAACCACTCACAACGGATTGTATAACGTTGCACAGAGGTTAAACAGTAGTTAAGAAACCACTCGATTGTATAACGTTGCACAGAGGTTAAACAGTAGTTTAGAAACCACTCTCAACAGATTGCATAACGTTGCACAAGGGTTAAACAGTAGTTAAGAAACCACTCTCAACGGATTGTATAACGTTGCACATGGGTTAAACAGGCGATGCACAGGGGTTAAATAGGCGTGCGATGAATTAATCAATCGGAAAGTCTCCTTACCATTTTCTTAAAGGGATTGTAAGCCAAATTTCAAGTGACCCACCATGCATGGATGAAAATTTCCCTTGAAACTTTGATCTGATCAAAAATTTGGAAGATAGTGTAGCTTTCCTGACTCGAAAAGCGATAAAATAACATAGTTTCTCTATTGCTTCTTACAAGCAAGAAATGCGCAAGTCACTTGTGCAGAGTAATTAGAAACGAAAAAAAAACAGTTTAAAGGGAACGGTCCCTTTAAAAAAAAAAAAAAAAAAACTTGCAGTTATAATTCATACTTGGTCAGGCAGAGCTTTTGAGGGTACCGTTGTAAATCGGGTAAGGACATCTTTGCATCGAGAGTCACTTGGACTTAATTACGCTGACATTAAATTTAATCCCTCTATTCATTCCAGCTCTGGTGATCTGGGATAGAACTAAAACATTTTTAGAAAATATCAGCTGCTAATATATTTAAATAATCCGCATTCCTGCCGAAGGATATCTTGCACGTGAATTCAATTATGATCATATTCACCAGTTTAGTTTGGAAGAGATTACAGATCAATTATCCAATTATATCAGACAGATTTAGGAGTATTTGCGAAGCTAATCGTGCATTATTAAACTCGTTAAAGAATCAGCTTTCCATTTTCTATCAATTAGATTTGATTTTTAGAGATAAACATTTTTTCAATTATGATTTCCATGAAATGAAATCCAGAAGCTGGGCATGCGTTGAAATTACTAAAATTAAGATTTTATAACTTAACCAGCTGAAGTGCCCGGCGTTGCCCGTGAAACTTTAAGAAACATTTGAAAAAAACATTTAAAATTTTGAAAGAAATAAAAAAAAAATTTTGAAAAAAAAATCAATGTTACCACTTAATGTTTCGGCAAATTTGGTTCAGCCGTTTGCCCAGCTAAAGCTTACACACATACATACAAAATATAAAAATATTTTTTTAAAAATAAGAAAAAAACAAAGTTGGATTGCTGCCAAATAAGCGATTTTCTTGATTTCAAAATTTAGATCGTTTTTTTTTAAATTAAAAGTTATTATTTGTAAATTTTAAAACTAACATGTTTTTAAACCATAAATAAATAAATAAAATGAGACTTGAAAAAAGTTAAATTTAAAAATGTAAAAACAACTTTATCTTTATAAAAACTAATTCAATTCGGTTCAAATCAGGTTGGTCAAGATGACTAATACAAGTTGAAAGAATTAGAAACTCATTTGAAGTAATTTGATTAAGTTTTGTCTACTTTATTTAGGGTTTTGCTGTTGGATGTCTATTGAGCTTAGAAGCATTATATTGGCTGATATTAATCAGTCAGTAAATATAAGGTTAGTTAGTTCTACAGAGCTTAGAAGCATTATATTGGCTGATATTAATCAGTCAGTAAATACAAGGTTAGTTAGTTCTAATAGAGCTTAGAAGCATAATATTAGCTGATATCATTCAGTCAGTAAGTACAAGGTTAGTTAGTTCTATAGAGCTTAGAAGCATAATATTAGCTGATATCAATCAGTCAGTAAGTACAAGGTTAGTTCTATAGAGCTTAGAAGCATAATATTGAATGATATTTTTTTAACAAAAAAATCTTAATTTTTGAAGACCGAGTTTTCGGGCTCTAATAGTAATCATAGAAAGTGAAAAAATGTTTTACAGTTATCAAATAAATCCTGATATATTATTTTATAATACTGCACACTCAATTCATCTAACATAACAAGCCAGTCACTCTCTTTAACTAAAACTGTTTGCTAGACCAATTTTAATTTTATCAATTTTGGCATTTTGTCTTTGACCAACGTTTTTTGTTTTCGCTTATCTTTATTCATGCTGGATAATATCTTTTAGAGCTGTTTTGATATCTTACTATGAAGATGAAGTGTTTAGATTAAACTGGGATAGGTAAGTAAAATTTTAAAAGTGCATTTCTTTGAATGCATTGCTGGCCACTTCTAACATTTTCTGCATCTTTAAATTTATTATTTATTTTTATGTAATTGATATAATTTCTACAAAATATCGATCTAGGACTTGTTTAAGGTTACAACGACAATACTTTTGCTGCGGAGCACTAAACTTTCATACTGGATATCAGGTAATATATCTTCCATACTGGATATCGGGTTATATATCTTCCATACTGGATATCAGGTTATATATCTTCCATACTGGATATCAGGTTATATATCTTTCATACTGGATATCAGGTTATATATCTTTCATACTGGATATCCGGTAATATATCTTTGATACTGGATATCTGGTTATATATCTTTCATACTGGATATCAAGCTATTTATCTTCCATACTGGATATCAAGTTACATATCTTTCATACTGGATATCAAGTTATGTATCTTCCATAATGGATATCAGGTTATATATCTTTCATACTGGATATCAGGTTATATATCTTTGATACTGGATATCTGGTTATATATCTTTCATACTGGATATCAGGTTGTATATCTTTCATACTGGATATCAGGTTACATATCCTTCATACTGGATTTCAGGTTATATATCTTTCATACTGGATATCAGGTTATATATCTTTCATACTGGATATCAGGTTATATATCTTCCATACTGGATATCAGGTAATATATCTTCCATACTGGATATCAGGTTATATATCTTTCATACTGGATATCAGGTTATATATCTTTCATATTGGATATCAGATTATATATCTTTCATACTGGATATCCGGTAATATATCTTTGATACTGGATATCTGGTTATATATCTTTCATACTGGATATCAAGCTATGTATCTTCCATACTGGATATCAAGTGATATATCTTTCATACTGGATATCAGGTTATGTATCTTTGATACTGGATATCTGGTTATATATCTTTCATACTGGATATCAGGTTACATATCCTTCATACTGGATATCAGGTTATATATCTTTGATACTGGATATCAGGTTATATATCTTTGATACTGGATATCAGGTAATATATCTTTCATACTGGATATCAGGTTATATCTTTCATCTTTGATACTGGATATCAGGTTATATATCTTTCATACTGGATATCAGGTTATATATCTTTGATACTGGATATCAGGTTATATCTTTCATCTTTGATTCGGAGAACACATTTTTGTAATTTTGAGCAAAATAAAGGAACTGAGTTCTTGTAACAAATTCAAATTGTATAATCCCTATAACATGATAATGAGAACCATCGATTTGATCAACAGAATTCAAAGTTTGAAATATCAAAGGTCTACTACATACATCTAGGCTGCAAAGATGTATGGATTAGAAAATCTGATTAAGTCACAAAAACGCTAGTTCAAAACTAATCTGTAAAGGATTGGTTAAACCTTCCTTCGGGATTAAACGGTTCCCTTCCTGACTCATGCTGTACAGGTATCATTATTATTATTATTATTATTATTATTATTATTATAAATA